GCAGCGCGTGTCTGCTGTGAAGGGCGGCTGTTTTTTTTTTATCCTGCTGGTTTTTCTTTTTGTGAGGGCGTTGTTCAGTGTGTGCTGACGCGTGACGAATAGCGACGTGCCAGGCGTGGCTCCTGCTGCTGCTGGTGATGATGGTTTTTGATGTTCCCGCTGCACTGTTCTTCCTTCTCGTTTCATTTGTCTGTGTGCGTGAGTTGTTGTTGAGAGTGACTGCGGCGGGGATGATGATGATGATGCCACTCACTGTGGATGGGTGACGGTGTTCGCTGTTTTACTCCTTTTTCCTTAACTTCTCTCTTTTACTCACACACAAAGGAAAGAAGTTAATAACAAGCGCTAATCGCTACTGTGAAATTCGAGGGCACTGAAAGGACCAACAACAGCACACACACCGCCCACACACACATATTTGTATGCACTCACGTGTTGCTGCAGTGAAGGCACCCCGCACACACAACCGTCGCCGCGTGACCGGATCCAGCGGAAGGAGGAGGGAAGGAAGAGAGAGTGAGCCGCCGAGGCCCAACATGTCCCGGCGTGTGTTTACTTCCGCATTGCTGCTCCTCCTTTTCGTGATGATGTGCTGCGGCAGTGGAGGGGCTGCGGGAGTTGCGGGGCAGTCAGATGAACCAAAGTTTAAATGGAGGGGCATCACTGATAGTGAGGGTGAAACTGTGGAGTCGTTGGGTGCTCCCAGCCTTCTAAAAGTGGGGAATGACGTATTTGCCGTTGCCGAGGCGCAGTGCAAGAACGGTGGTGTCAGTTTTACTGGCGTTGCATCTCAACCTCTCACGACACAAACTGCTAAGACACCGGAGGAAGTACTGAAAAAATCCAAAGATGAGACACAAGTACTGGAGGAAGGTGCTTCCAAAGACCAAAAGAAGAAAGTAGATGTGAGCCGACCAACAACTGCTGTGAAGGGAAGTGATATTTACATGCTTGCTGGAGCCTACAATAAAGTTGCCACTCCTGGACAGGTTGGTGCGTCTGACGCGGCTCAATTGGGACTTTTGCTGGTGAAAGGGAGCGTCAATAGTGGGGATGCAAATAACAAAAAAATTGACTGGAAAGATCCTGAAAGTCCTCCGCAAGGACTGTTTGAGAAACAGCTCGATTCCTGGACAAGGCTGATTGGAAGCGGTGGATCGGGTGTTAAGATGAAGGATGAGACTCTTGTATTTCCTGTGGAAGGCACGAAGAAGGCGGCGGGGGACGCAGAAGTGGATGTGAAGACTGTCTCACTGATCATACACTCGAAGGATAATACGGATTGGAAGCTGCCGAAGGGGATTTCTGACGGTGGCTGCAGTGATCCCTCCGTCGTGGAGTGGGAGGACGATAAACTCATCATGATGGCTGCATGTGATGGTGGCCGCCGCAGGGTGTACGAGTCCGGTGACAAGGGGGAGTCGTGGACGGAGGCACTCGGGACACTCTCGCGCGTGTGGAGCAACAAAAAGGGCGAAGAAGCGAAGGCCGTTAGGAGCGGGTTCATCACAGCGACTGTTGGAAATGATGGTGATAAGAGGAATGTGATGCTCGTTACCCTGCCGGTGTATTCCGAGAAGGACGGCAACGAAAAGGGCAAACTTCATCTTTGGCTGACGGACAATACGCACATTGTTGATATTGGGCCGGTATCCGATGATGATGCTGCCGCCAGTTCCCTGTTGTACAACAGTGGTGAAAACACTGATGAGAAGGAGGATGAGTTGATTGCACTGTACGAGAAGAAGAAGAAGGATGTGAAACCATCATCCGGTATGGTCTCTGTGCTTCTGGCTGAGCAGCTGCAGCGTGTGAAGGGTGTGCTGACGACCTGGAAGGAGGTGGACAAAAGTGTCTCTCAGCTGTGCACCTCATTAATTGCTCAGAAGGATCGCTCAACTGACAATGCCTGCGGCGCTGTAAAGATCATGGCTGGGTTGGTTGGCTTTTTGTCCGGCAAATTCTCTGAGAACACATGGAGGGACGAGTACCTCGGCGTGAACGCCACACTAACGAAAGAAGGTGCGGTGCAGGTAGAAAAAGGTGTGACGTTCACTGGGCGTGGAGTGTGGGCGGAGTGGCCTGTTGGCAAGCAGGGGGAGAATCAGCTGTACCACTTTGCGAACTACAACTTCACTCTTGTGGCGACGGTGTCCATCGACAATATGCCGAAAAGTGGCAGCGTCCCTTTGATGGGTGTGCGTGCGGGCAAGGAAGGAAAATCCAAACTTATTGAGTTGTCGTACGACAGCGGAAAGAAGTGGCATGTACTGTGCGGTGACAAAACGACGACGAAGCTCAGCAGCACGTGGGAGACAGGGACACCTCAACACGTGGTAATTTTGTTGAAGAACGGCACCCAGGGCTCCGTGTACGTTGATGCTCAGCGAGTGGGGAATGGAGAATGTGCATTGGGAAATGGTGAGTCGAAAGAGATCTCCCACTTCTACATTGGAGGGGATGGAGGCAGCGCAGAGAACAAAGAGGGCGTGTCTGTGACTGTGACGAACGTCCTGCTGTACAACCGCCCGTGGGATGACACTGAGATCGCCGCCTTCAACCCGAATAAAGCCAATATTCCAGTTCAGATGGACAGGTCTATTGAAGGAGACGTGATTCAGCCTTCTCCTGGTGGTGGACGACCGGAGGAACAGAGACAGTTGTTGGAGAGAAGTCGTGCGGACGGTGTATCCGCACCAACAGTGTCCAATGCCAAGACTTCCTCAGGAGGAGAGGGGTCTGCAACCCAGCTGGTGTCAGAAGAATCTTCCGATGGAAGTAAAAATGTGGGTGGCGCTTCCTCGCCTGGCAGTGATGCAGCGGTGGAGACAGGAGACCGAAGTACGGTGCAGGGAGATGGATCATCACCAACTCTTGTGGGTACTCCCGCCACAGCAGATGCATATGCCCCTAACGCTGAAGCCATGGGGCACGATGGAACCGCAGTGAATCCTGGGGCGAGCGCGAGCTCAGGTGCGGATGGGGAGACGGCGGAAGGAACGAATGGGCAGGAGAAGGAGGAGATCCATGCAAAGAACGGGGAAGTAAAGGCTGCGGCCCTCAGCAGCAGTCTCGGGAATTTGTCGCAGGGGAATAACACCGATGCCTGCAGTGTGTGCGGGAGCGGACTGCTGCCACTTCTGCTTCTTCTGCTGTTGGGACTGTGGGGGTTTGCGGCTCTGTGAGGAGTGACTGGCGGCCGCGTGGGAGAATCGCGCCCTCCCTGCACGGAATTACTTCCAAGAAATGATATTTTCCTTAAGATAATTTTCTTTTTCTTTTGCTGTTCGTAATTTATAATTTTTCCTTTTTTTAAAAATCTTTTTTGTTTTTTTAAATCATTTTTCACTCCCCCATCCCATCTTTTTTGCTTTTGGGGCAATCACTATGGACATTTTTTTCTTTTCTACTCTTCCCTCTTTTCAATTGTTTCTTGCTGCACTCTTCCTGTGAGGGGTGCCGTGTGTTTCCCGCCCAACTGCTCCACTCGCACACCCACCGACACGCTCATGACGACGGCCCTGTGCGCCTCGCCTGCTGCACGCATGAGGAGGGGCCGTGACGTGTGGGCGTGCGACGAGGGCCTGTGGGGCGGAGCACACATTTCTTTCCCTCTTGTTTTGTTTTTGGCTGCCAGGGCGGGCAGACACCCGCAGCGCCACACACACAGCCACGCCCTGCCGCCGTGTTTTTCTTTTGTTTTGCGTGCCGCCACCGTGCGTGATTGTTGAGGTCGTGGACGTACCAAATGTATCGCTTCCATCCAGCTGTTCCTATTGCTGTGTTGATTTGCCTCCCTCTGCTCTTCTTCTTTTTAGCTCTTCCCACAGCACACGTGCACAGTCACATAATTATTTGCACAGCGCCCTGCAGGAGTGCCTTGGTGATGGAAGTACGTTGGCTTGCGTTTCTTGCTGACATGTAGAGGCCGCTGCGTGTGTGACTGCGGTGGAATCACGGTGACATCGGATGGGTGCGTGTGGACGCCTCATTTGCATTCCGCTGGGTGCCGGCTGACGCGGCTGCACGATGCCCGCCATGCGTGAGGGTGTTGCCTGCTCTTGTGGCCATTCTTCTCACCCCTCTGTTTTTGCACTGCCGGATGCGGGCGTCGCACGGTGTGTCCTGGCGCATGACGGACGGTGCCACGATGGCCTCCTCTGGCAATGACAGTCGCTGTGCGTTGTCGGCACACATCCACACACTCTTCCCTGTTTCTCTGTGGGAGTGATTGCAACAGGAGCGTGGTCTACGGCGGTGGCAGCTGCTGCTCTGGAGGAGGACGGGGTGCCGAAGGAGGAATAAGAGGGCGAACCCGCTGGATGAGCTGCCACTGATCCCGTTCTTGCTGGAAGCGTTAAACCGCGAGTACAGTAAGACGGACACTCGGACGGTTGCTGCTCCGCATTTCTTCCAGCACTGCGGTGCCGCCGGCCACACGTCTTTTTGGTGCCACAAGCAGAAGGACAACAAGATGCAGTGCATGACGGCCAACCTGATCGGCATTTGGTTGCAGCGCATGGAGCACGTGCGCCAGTACGCGTTGGGTGTTGCGCTCGTGATTGTGGAGGATAGGCGGCACGACATTGTGGCGCTGTGTGTGTTGCGCGGCCGGGGCATGCCGGCGATTGTGGAGGACACGGAGCTGTTTGACTGAGAGGAGGTGGCGTACGTTGCGGCGCAGCGGGGGCGCATGACGGACTGCCTGTGGTGGAGGGGCGCGTGTTGAGGCGAGCGTGGCGCGCCTGTGAGGGCCTGAGGAGAGGGAATAACAGTAATGGTGACCTTGGGAGCGTGAGGAACGGGGCAAGAGCGGGGAGCGCTCCTCTTTTGTTTTGATTGTTGTTGAGCGGCGTCCACCTAATTGTTGTGGTGCGTGACTCTCGTCGCTGGATAGGACGGTGCGTGGTTGTGTGACTTGTCTATTCTTTTTTTTTCTTTCACTCTGCGTTGACGGGGAGTTGGTTTGTGCTGAAGGCTGCACGCAAGTGACGGGAGTGATGATGGCGATGATGATGACTGGCCGTGTGCTGCTGGTGTGTGCCCTCTGCGTGCTGTGGCGCGGTGTTAGCGTGGTGGCTGTGCCGGCGGCCGATGTTGCTGGCGGAGGTGATGGCGGTGCGGATGAGTATTTTGTTTTGCGGTGGCACGCTCAGCTGCGGAGGGAATGCGCGGAGGCGTTCGGCAGGAGGACAGAAGGCAGGAAGGATGTTTTCGCCGTTGATGATTGCGTGCGTCGGGGGATGGACGGTGTGCGTGCGTTTGGGGATGGCCGTCGTGTCTGGAGACGTCAGCGTTCTGCGGTGGTTGCTGGTGATGATACCACCGATGATGACAGCACCCGCGGATCCTCCTCCGAAGTACAGACAGAGACTGAAACTGGTTCGTTGGACGGACGAACACCGAAACCATCGGTGAAGCCAATCCCGGGAGAAGTACCAGATGGACAGGACTCAGGAAAAATTTCAGAGGCTTCTGTGCCGACGATAAACGGAACTGGAGAGAATTTAGATGGTGAAGAAGAGGAAGGGGACGTGAGTCAAGATGAAAGCCAAGAAGACAGGGATGGTGAGGACGAGGCTGTTGACGCTGCAGTGGGAAATGGAGGCAGCGAAACTTCACATACAGAACACGAAGAAGAGAAGGAAAGAGTGAAGGAGGAAAAAGCAGGAAGCACGACAAACGAACGAGAAGGGGACGAAAACAACGCTGCCGGCCGTAGACCTCCTCAAGGAAGCGCAGCTTCTCGGCCTGCTTTGCCCGTTGACGTCAGTAATCCTCAAAATCCCGTGTTGGGCCAGGACGGCGCTGGAGGAGAAAAAGCGGGTGCCGGTCCAGTGGTGCTGCCACAAGCAGCAGGATTACGAGAGGCGGAAAGGGCACCAGCGAAATTAACTCCCGGAGGAGGTGCAGCCGGAAAAGAAACAGAGAAGCAAAACGGAACGGCGGAGCAGGTGGCTGCAAAGGAAGTGCAAACAGCCGTCGAAGATAGTTCAGCAGAAGCAGCCGCAGCGGGAAAAGATTCCAAGGGAGAAAAGGAAGAAGAAAACGTAAGCGAGGCTGCAAAGGAAGAGTCACACGGAGATGTTGACGAAGAAGCAGCGGGGAAGAACGGAGGAAATGCGACAAAGAAACTACAAAAAGAAGCCACGGACGACGAGGCAAAGACAAAAAAACGAAACGAGCAGAAGGAGGCGGAAAATGCAAATAATACCAAAGAAGAACCCGACGAAGAAGAAGCCAAAAAAGCCGCTCAAGAAGAAGCAGCAGCAGACAAAGAAAACATGGCCTCAGCCCGAATCCCTACCAAAATTAATACGACGACACCTGAAAACAGTGACGGCAGCACCGCTGTCTCCCACACCACCTCCCCTCTTTTGCTTCTTCTTCTTGTTGCGTGTGCGGCTGCTGCTGCGGTGGTGGCCGCGTGAGAGTGAGTGAGAGAGCCATGCACCGCCCGCACACACACTCGTCTTTCACTCACTCTCTGTGTGTGTGTGTCCCCTTGCATGGACTCTCGCCCTCACCTCATCCCACGAAGCACACACATAATGTGCCCATTGTATATATGCATGCAAACCCATGCATGCCCGTTGGTGCTCTCTTTTGCACGACACGCACCGCTGCCGTCCTGCCTGGCTGCATGGGCGGAGCACCGTAACTGTTTCTGTTTTGTTTTTATTGCCTTGAGTGGGCGATCTCTCTCTCTCTCTCTCCCTGTGTGTGTGTGTTTTGCTTTACGGGAGCAATGAGAGAGTGTGCGCTGGTCGTCCCACGCTTCGGCTTTTCATTGTTTTTCATTGTTTTGTTGTTGAGAGCACCCATTCCGCGGGCTGCGTGTGTGATGATATGAGTAATCTGCGTGTGTGCTATCCGCCTCTCCCTATCTTTGCTTTCTTGGGACTCTCTTGTGCCGCACATTTGCTCTGCAAGTATACACGCTGCCAAACGCACTAGCAGATGCACACGCTATGTTGCGCACGCTGTGGGGCGGCGTGAACGCAGAGGACGCACGCACGTACACGGTTGTTGCTGCGGCTGCCCTTGCGAGGAGGGATGACCGCGAATTGTTTTGTTGCCGTGCTGCGAGCGTGATTTCCTAGGCTTGCTGCCCATGGGCGGCGTGGCGTTTTGGTGTCTGGGATTATTGCGGATAGGCTTCAGCCCAGCAACTGCACCGTCTGACGTGTTCCTCCCGCTGTTCGTACACCGACGGAGGATTCTCCGGCTGTGCGGGGCGATGTGCGGGTGCGTTGGAAGAGACAAGAGTAAAACGACTGGCGGCAGCGCGTGTCTGCTGTGAAGGGCGGCTGTGGTTTTTTATCCTGCTGGTTTTTCTTTTTTTGAGGGCGTTGTTCAGTGTGTGCTGACGCGTGACGAATAACGACGTGCCGGGCGTGGCTCCTGCTGCTGCTGGTGATGACCGTCGCTGTGTGTTCCCGCTGCACTGTTCTTCCTTCTCGTTTCATGTGTCTGTGTGCGTGAGTTGTTTTTGAGAGTGACTGCGGCAGGGATGACGATGATGATGCCACTCACTGTGGATGGGTGACGGTGTTCACTGTTTCACTCCTTTTTCCTTAACTTCTCTCTCTTTTACTCACACACAAAGGAAAGAAGTTAATAACAAGCGCTAACCGCTACTGTGGAATTGTAAGGCTCTGAAAGGACCAACAACAGCACACACACCGCCCACACACACACATATTTGTATGCACTCACGTGTTGCTGCAGTGAAGGCACCCCGCACGCACAACCGTCGCCGCGTGACCGGATCCAGCGGAAGGAGGAGGGAAGGAGGAGAGAGTGAGCCGCAGAGGCCCAACATGTCCCGGCGTGTGTTTGCTTCCGCGGTGCCGCTCCTCCTTTTCGTGTTGATGTGCTGCGGCAGTGGAGGGGTTGCGGAAGTTGCGGGGCCGTCGTCTGGTCCCCAGTTTAAATGGAAAGGCATCACTGATGGTGGAGGTGAAACTGTGGAGTCGTTGGGTGCTGCCAGCCTTCTAAAAGTGGGGAGTGACGTATTTGCCGTTGCCGAGGCGCAGTGCAAGAAGGATGAAAAAGTCTTTACTGGCGTTGCATCTCAACCTCTCACGAAAAAAACTGCTGACACACCGGAGGAACTGTTTAGTGATGCCTTAAAGACGACACAAGTACTGGAGGAAGGTGCTTCCGAAGGCCAAAAGAAGAAAGTAGATGTGAGCCGACCAACAATAGTTTTGAAGGGGAATGATATTTACATGCTTGTTGGAAAGTACAGCAGTAAAGTTGCCACTCCTGGACAGGTTGATGCGTCTGACGCGGCTCAATTGGGACTTTTGCTGGTGAAAGGGAGCGTCAATAGTGGGGATGCAAATAGCAAAAAAATTGACTGGAAAGTTACTGAGAGTTCCTTGCAAAAACTGTTTGAGAAACAGCCCGATTCCTGGACAAAGCTTATTGGAAGCGGTGGATCGGGTGTTAAGATGCATGATGAGACTCTTGTATTTCCAGTGGAAGGCACGAAGAAGGCGGCGGGGGACGCAGAAGTGGATGTGAAGACTGTCTCACTGATCATACACTCGAAGGATAATACGAATTGGAAGCTGTCGAAGGGGATGTCTGACGGTGGCTGCAGCGATCCCTCCGTCGTGGAGTGGGAGGACGATAAACTCATCATGCTGACTGCGTGTGATGGTGGCCGCCGCAGGGTGTACGAGTCCGGTGACAAGGGGGAGTCGTGGACGGAGGCACTCGGGACACTCTCGCGCGTGTGGGGCAACAACAAAAATGGCGGACAAGCGAAGGCAGTTAGGAGCGGGTTCATCACAGCGACTGTTGGAAATGATGGTGATAAGAGGAATGTGATGCTCGTTACCCTGCCGGTGTATTCCGAGAAGGACGGCAACGAAAAGGACAAACTTCATCTTTGGCTGACGGACAATACGCACATTGTTGATATTGGGCCGATATCCGATGATGATGACGCTGCCGCCAGTTCCCTGTTGTACAACAGTGGTGAAAACACTGATGAGAAGAAGGAGGATGAGTTGATTGCACTGTACGAGAAGATGAAGGACGGTGGGAAACCATCACCCGGTATGGTCTCTGTGCTCCTGACTGAGCAGCTGAAGCGTGTGAAGGGTGTGCTGACGATCTGGAAGGAGGTGGACAAAAGTGTCTCTCAGCTGTGCACCTCATTAATTGCTGAGAAGGATCGCTCAACTGACAATGCCTGCGGCCCTGTTAAGATCACGGCTGGGTTGGTTGGATTTTTGTCGGGCAAATTCTCTGAGAACACATGGAAGGACGAGTACCTCGGCGTGAACGCCACAGTAAAGAGCGAAGGGGCGGTGCAGGCGGAAAATGGCGTGACGTTCACTGGGCGTGGCGCAGGGGCGGAGTGGCCTGTTGGCAGTCAGGGGGAGAATCAGCTGTACCACTTTGCGAACTACAACTTCACTCTTGTGGCGACGGTGTCCATCGACAATGTGCCGGAGGAGGGTACTATTCCGTTGGTGGGTGTGAAGATGAAGGGTGCAGGGAATTCTGTACTGCTGGGACTGTCGTACAACAGCGGAAAGAAGTGGCATGTGCTGTGCGGTGACAAAACGACGACGAAGCTCAGCAGCACGTGGGAGACAGAGACACCTCAACACGTGGTAATTTTGTTGAAGAACGGCACCCAGGGCTCCGTGTACGTCGATGGTCAGCTAGTGTGTGGGAATGAAGAATGTGCATTGGGAAATGGTGAGTCGAAAGAGATCTCCCACTTCTACATTGGAGGGGATGGAGTCAATGCAGAGAACAAAGAAGGCGTCTCTGTGACTGTGACGAACGTCCTGCTGTACAACCGCCCGTTGGATGACACTGAGATCGCCGCCTTCAATCCGAATAAAGCCAATATTCCAGTTCAGGTGGACAGGCCTATTGAAGGAAACGCGATTCAGCCTTCTGGTGGTGGAAGACCGGAGGAACAGAGACAGTTGTTGGGGAGCAGCGGTGCGGACGGTGTATCCGCATCAACGGTGTCCAATGCCAGGACTTCCTCAGGAGGAGAGGGGTCTGCAACCCAGTTGGTGAAAGAAGAATCTTCCGATGGAAGTAAAAATGTGGGTGGCGCTTCCTCGCCTGGCAGTGACGCAGCGGTGGAGACAGGAGACCGAAGTACGGTGCAGGGAGATGGATCATCAGAAACTCTTGTGGGTACTCCCGCCACAGCAGATGCATATGCCCCTAACGCTGAAGCCATGGGGCACGATGGAACCGCAGTGAATCCTGGGGCGAGCGCGAGCTCAGGTGCGGATGGGGAGACGGCGGAAGGAACGAATGGGCAGGAGAAGGAGGAGATCCATGCACAGAACGGGGACGTAAAGGCTGCGGCCCTCAGCAGCAGTCTCGGGAATTTGTCGCAGGGGAATAACACCGATGCCTGCAGTGTGTGCGGGAGCGGACTGCTGCCACTTCTACTTCTTCTGCTGTTGGGACTGTGGGGGTTTGCGGCTCTGTGAGGAGTGACTGGCGGCCGCGTGGGACACTTGCGCCCTCCCAGCACGGAATTACTTCCAAGAAATGATATTTTCCTTAAGATAATTTTCTTTTTCTTTTGTTGTTCGTAATTTATAATTTTTCCTTTTTTAAAATCTTTTTTTTTAATTTTTCACTCCCCCATCCCATCTTTTTTGCTTTTGGGGCAATCACTATGGACATTTTTTTCTTTTCTACTCTTCCTTCTTTTTAATTGTTTCTTGCTGCGCTCTTCCTGTGAGGGGTGCCGTGTGTTTCCCGCCCAACTGCTCCACTCGCACACCCACCGACACGCTCATGACGACGGCCCTGTGCGCCTCGCCTGCTGCACGCATGAGGAGGGGCCGCGACGAACGGCGCGCTGAGGGAGCCGTGACGTGTGGGCGTGCGACGAGGGCCTGTGGGGCGGAGCACACATTTCTTTCCCTCTTGTTTTGTTTTATTGCTGCCAGGGCGGGCAGACACCCGCAGCGCCACACACACACAGCCACACCCTGCCGCCGTGTTTTTCTTTTGTTTTGCGTGCCGCCACCGTGCGTGATTGTTGAGGTCGTGGACGTACCAAATGTATCGCTTCCATCCAGCTGTACCTATTGCTGTGCTGATTTGCCTCCCTGTGCTCTTCTTCTTTTCAGCTTCTCCAACAGCACACGTGCACAGTCACATAATTATTTGCACAGCGCCCTGCAGGAGCGCCTTAGTGATGGAGGTACGTTGGCTTGCGTTTCTTGCTGACATGTAGAGGCCGCTGCGTGTGTGACTGCTGTGGAATCACGGTGACATCGGATGGGTGCGTGTGGACACCTTTTTTTGCATTCCGCTGGGTGCTGGCTGACGCGGCTGCACGATGCCCGCCATGCGTGAGGGTGTTGCCTGCTCTTGTGGTCATTCTTCTCACCCCTCTGTTTTTGCACTGCCGGATGCGGGCGTCGCACGGTGTGTCCTGGCGCATGACGGACGGTGCCACGATGGCCTCCTCTGGCAATGACAGTCGCAGTGCGTTGTCGGCACACATCCACACATTCTTCCCTGTCTCTCTGTGGGAGTGATTGCAACAGGAGCGTGGTCTACGGCAGTGGCAGCTGCTGCTCTGGAGGAGGACGGGGTGCCGAAGGAGGAATAAGAGGGCGAACCCGCTGGATGAGCTGCCACTGATCCCGTTCTTGCTGGAAGCGTTAAACCGCGAGTACAGTAAGACGGACACTCGGACGGTTGCTGCTCCGCATTTCTTCCAGCACTGCGGTGCCGCCGGCCACACGTCTTTTTGGTGCCACAAGCAGAAGGACAAGAAGCTGCAGTGCATGACGGCCAACCTGATCGGCATTTGGTTGCAGCGCATGGGGCACGTGCGCCAGTACGCGTTGGGTGTTGCGCTCGTGATTGTGGAGGATAGGCGGCACGACATTGTGGCGCTGTGTGTGTTGCGCGGCCGGGGCATGCCGGCGATTGTGGAGGACACGGAGCTGTTTTACTGAGAGGAGGTGGCGTACTTTGCGGAGCAGCGGGGGCACATGACGGACTGCCTGAGGAGGGGCGCGTGTTGAAGCGAGCGTGGCGCGCCTGTGAGGGCCTGAGGAGAGGGAATAACAGTAATGGTGACTTTGGGAGCGTGAGGAACGGGGCAAGAGCGGGGAGCGCTCCTCTTTTGTTTTGATTGTTGTTGAGCGGCGTCCACCTAATTGTTGTGGTGCGTGACTCTCGTCGCTGGATAGGACGGTGCGTGGTTGTGTGAATTGTCTCCTTTTTTGCTTTGCGTTGACGGGGAGTTGATTTGTGCTGAAGGCTGCAGGCAAGTGACAGGAGTGATGATGGCGATGATGATGACTGGCCGTGTGCTGCTGGTGTGTGCCCTCTGCGTGCTGTGGCGCGGTGTTTGCGTGGTGGCTGTGCCGGCGGCCGATGTTGCTGGCGGAGGTGATGGCGGTGCGGATGAGTATTTTGTTTTGCGGTGGCACGCTCAGCTGCGGAGGGAGTGCGCGGAGGCGTTCGGCAGGAGGACAGGAGGCAGGAAGGATGTTTTCACCGTTGATGATTGCGTGCGTCGGGGGATGGACGGTGTGCGTGCCTTTGGGGATGGCCGTAGCCGTTGGAGGCGTCAACACTCCGCTGTGGTCGCTGCTGCTGCTGATGGTGAGGTTGATGACAAAAGTGGCGAAGGCAGCGGTGACACATTGAAGGGATTATCTTCTTCAGACCAGATGTCACAAGCGGGACAAAATCAAGAAGAAAGACGGGAACTTACAGGTTCACTGGAAGTGACGAATACGTTGGAAGGAAGCGAGGATTCACAAATAACAGGCGAACAGAATTTCAGTTTAGATGTCGATCGTCCCAAACAAACTGGGAGTCAAGAGCCAACCGTCGGCCAACCGGAGGATGAGGAAGGCACGAGAAATCTCCAACTGCCACCACCACCACCTCCTCCAGCAGAACCACTGCCACCAACACCACGACAACCACCACCAGGAACAAACACATTACAGTCAGAAAAAACAAATCCACAAATTACAGCGGAAAAACATTCAAAGCCACAAGACGGAGGTCACTCACACGAAACGAAGATGCTACAAACGAAAGGTTCAACAAAGCACGAGGAAGGAGCATCCTCCTTGCAGTCACCGGAGAGCGTATCGCATTTGAGTCGAGAGAAAACAACACCATTATCTACCTCCACAGACAGCAGCGGCGTTGCCGGAAGCACGGTGGAGAACAGTGGTGCTAACAATCCCAAACCTCCTGCCGCCTCAGTGACACAACATGATTCCAAGGGAGATATTGGCTCCGCTGCTCTGCCAGCCAACAACACCGAATTGCAATCAGAGGAAATACCCAACGCAGGTATAATTGCCACGACGTATGACGACGGCGACGACAGCAGCCCTGCAGCTCCTACTGCTGAAAGGACTACCGCTGGCACAAGAAGCACTCAAGCCTCTGGTGATGCGAGTGACGTTGAACGGGCTAATAACGACGACGTCAATGATGACGTGGCACACAACGATAAGACCGCAGAATTTGAAGCCGCCTCAGGAGGCAAGGACACTGAGGCAGATAATAATGAGAGGTACACATCAGAACCGGAGAACGCCACCAATAAAACAATCAATACAGAGACCATAGCCGACAGTGACGGCAGCACCGCGGTCTCCCACACCACCTCCCCTCTTTTGCTTCTTCTTCTTGTTGTTGCGTGTGCGGCTGCTGCTGCGGTGGTGGCCGCGTGAGAGTGGGGGAGAGAGAGCCGTGCACCGCCCGCACACACACTCGTCTTTCACTCACTCTCTGTGTGTGTCCCCTTGCATGGACTCTCGCCCTCACCTCATTCCACGAAGCACACACATAATGTGCCCATTGTATATATGCATGCACACCCATGCAGGCCCGTTGGTGCTCTCTTTTGCACGACACGCACCGCTGCCGTCCTGCCTGGCTGCATGGGCGGAGCACCGCAACTGTTTTTGTTTTGTTTTTATTGCATTGAGTGGGCGACCTTTCTCTCTCTCTCTCTCCCTGTGTGTGTGTTTTGCTTTACGGGAGCAATGAGAGAGAGTGTGCGCTGGTCGTCCCACGCTTCGGCTTTTCATTGTTTTCATTGTGTTGTTGTTGAGAGCACCCATTCCGCGGGCTGCGTGTGTGTGATGATATGAGTGATTTGCGTGTGTGCTATCCACCTCTCCCTATCTTTGCTTTGTTGGGACACTCTTGTGGCGAACAGCTGCTCTGCAAGTATACACGCTGACAAACGCACTAGCAGATGCACACGCTATGTTGCGCACGCTGTGGGGCGGCGTGAACGCAGAGGACGCACGCACGTACACGATTGTTGCTGCGGCTGCCCTTGCGAGGAGGGATGACGGATGACCGCGAATTGTTTTTTTGCCGTGCTGCGAGCGTGATTTCCTAGGAGTGCTGCCCATGGGTGGCGTGGCGTTTTGGTGCCTGGGATTATTGCGGATAGGCTTCAGCCCAGCAGCTGCACCGTCCGACGTGTTCCTCCCGCTGTTCGCACGCCGACGGAGGATTCTCCGGCTGTGCGGGGCGATGTGCGGGTGCGTTGGAAGATACAAGAGTAAAACGACTGGCGGCAGCGCGTGTGTGCCGTGAAGGGCGGCTGTGTTTTTTTATCCTGCCGGTTTTTCTTTTTGTGAGGGCGTTGTTCAGTGTGTGCTGACGCGTGACGAATAACGACGTGCCAGGCGTGGCTCCTGCTGCTGCTGGTGATGACCGTCGCTGTGTGTTCCCGCTGCATTGTTCTTCCTTCTCGTTTCATGTGTCTGTGTGCGTGAGTTGTTGTTGAGAGTGACTGCGGCGGGGATGACGATGATGATGCCACTCACTGTGGATGGGTGACGGTGTTCGCTGTTTCACTCCTTTTTCTTAGCTTCTCTCTTTTACTCACACACAAAGGAAAGAAGTTAATAACAAGCGCTAATCGCTACTGTGAAATTGGAGGGCACTGAAAGGACTAACAACAGCACACACACCGCCCACACACACACATATTTGTATGCACTCACGTGTTGCTGCAGTGAAGGCACCCCGCACACACAACCGTCGCCGTGTGACCGGATCCAGCGGAAGGAGGAGGGAAGGAAGAGAGAGTGAGCCGCCGAGGCCCAACATGTCCCGGCATCTCTTCTACTCTGCGGTGCTGCTCCTCGTCGTGTTGATGTGCTGCGGCAGTGGAGGGACTGCGGGAGTTGCGGGGCAGTCGTCTGGTCCTCAGTTTAAATGGAGGGGCATCAATGATGGTGGAGGTGAAACTGTGGAGTCGTTGGGTGCTCCCAGCCTTCTAAAAGTGGGGAATGACGTATTTGCCGTTGCCGAGGCGCAGTGCAAAAAGAACGGTGGTGTCAGTTTTACTGGCGTTGCATCCCAACCTCTCACGACAAAAACTGCAAATACACCGGAGGAAGTACTTAAAAAACCCAAAGGTGAGACACGAGTACTGGAGGAAGGTGCTTCCAAAGACCAAAAGAAGAAAGTAGATGTGAGCCGACCAACAATAGTTTTGAAGGGGAATGATATTTACATGCTTGTTGGACAGTACAGCCCTGCAGCTGTTGGTGCGTCTGGCGCGACTCAATTGGGACTTTTGCTGGTGAAAGGGAGCGTCAATAGTGGGGATGCAAATAACAAAAAAATTGACTGGGAAGTTACTGAGAGTTCCCCGCAAGGACTGTTTGAGAAACAGCCCGATTCCTGGACAAGGCTGATTGGAAGCGGTGGATCGGGTGTTAAGATGCATGATGAGACTCTTGTATTTCCAGTGGAAGGCACGAAGAAGGCGGCGGATGGCACAGAAGTGGATGTGAAGACTGTCTCACTGATCATACACTCGAAGGATAATACGAATTGGAATCTGCCGAAGGGGATGTCTGACGATGGCTGCAGCGATCCCTCCGTCGTGGAGTGGGAGGACGATAAACTCATCATGCTGACTGCGTGTGATGGTGGCCGCCGCAGGGTGTACGAGTCCGGTGACAAGGGGGATTCGTGGACGGAGGCACTCGGGACACTCTCGCGCGTGTGGGGCAAAAAAAATGGCGGAAAAGAGAAGGCAGTTAGAAGCGGGTTCATCACAGCGACTGTTGGAAATGATGGTGATAAGAGGAATGTGATGCTCGTTACCCTGCCGGTGTATTCCGAGAAGGACGGCAACGAAAAGGACAAACTTCATCTTTGGCTGACGGACAATACGCACATTGTTGATATTGGGCCGATATCCGATGATGATGACGCTGCCGCCAGTTCCCTGTTGTACAACAGTGGTGAAAACACCAATGAGAAGAAGGAGGAGTTGATTGCACTGTACGAGAAGAAGAAGGATGGAAAACCATCACCCGGTATGGTCTCTGTGCTTCTGGCTGAGCAGCTGCAGCGTGTGAAGGAGGTGCTGACGACCTGGAAGGAAGTGGACGGACGTGTCTCCCAGCTGTGCACCTCATTAAGTGCTCAGAAGGATGCCTCAACTGACGATTTCTGCAGCGCTGTTAAGATCACGGCTGGGTTGGTTGGCTTTTTGTCCGGCAACCTCTCTGGGAACACATGGAAGGACGAGTACCTCGGCGTGAACGCCACAGTAACGAAAGAACGGGCGGAGCAGGTGGATAGTGGCGTGAAGTTCACTGGGAGTGGCGCAGGGGCGGAGTGGCCTGTTGGCAAGCAGGGGGGGAATCAGCTGTACCACTTCGCGAACTACAACTTCACTCTTGTGGCGACGGTGTCCATTGAAAAAATGCCGGAGGGAAACACCCCCATTCCGTTGATGGGTGTGAAGATGAAGGGTGCAGGGAATTCTGTACTGCTGGGACTGTCGTACGGCAGCGGAAAGAAGTGGCAGGTACTGTGCTGTGACGGAAAAACTGAGGAGCTCGAAAGGAATTGGGGGACAGATAAGACGTACCAGGTGGCCATTATGCTACAGAACGGCACCCAGGGCTCCGTGTACGTCGATGGTCAGCTAGTGTGTGGGAATGAAGAATGTGCATTGGGAAATGGTGGGTCGAAAGAGATCTCCCACTTCTACATTGGAGGGGATGGAGCCAATGCAGAGAACAAAGAAGGCGTGTCTGTGACTGTGACGAACGTCCTGCTGTACAACCGCCCGTTGGATGACACTGAGATCGCCGCCTTCAATCCGAATAAAGCTCCTATTGAAGTTCAGGTGGACGGGTCTATTGAAGGAGACGCGATTCAGCCTTCTGGTGGTGGACGACAGGAGGAACCGAGACAGTCGTTGGGGAGCAGCGGTGCAGGCGTTGTACCTGCATCAACAGTGTCCAGTGCCAAGACTTCCTCAGGAGGAGAGGGGTCTGCAACCCAGTTGGTGAAAGAAGAATCTTCCGATGGAAGTAAAAATGTGGGTGGCGCTTCCTCGCCTGGCAGTGACGCAGCGGTGGAGACAGGAGACCGAAGTACGGTGCAGGGAGATGGATCATCAGAAACTCTTGTGGGTACTCCCGCCACAGCAGATGCATATGCCCCCTGACGCTGAAGCCATGGGGCACGATGGAACCGCAGTGAATCCTGGGGCGAGCGCGAGCTCAGGTGCGGATGGGGAGACGGCGGAAGGAACGAATGGGCAGGAGA